GGGGTCTCACTTTTGCTCAGGCTGGTCTCGAACTCTTGAGCTCAAACAATCTGCCCGCCTCGGCCTCCCAGAGTGCTAGGATTACAGATGTGAGCCACCGTGCCCGGCCTGCCATGTCTATTTCATTCCATCTCTACTCTCCTCAAATTTTAAAGCCCCTCACTTTGAGTAGATGACTTGTCTCCTTTTTCACCCAGAAAATAGAAACCATGAAACTGGAAATCCATCTGCCCCCACCCAGCACTAGCACTGCCCCTACTAATTTACCTGTACCTACACCTATCCTTGCTTACTGTAACTGTGAGAACTGTCCTTCCTCCTGTGTATAGCTAAGCCCCTATCTGTGCTTAGATACCATGCCTACCTGCCTTCTCAGAGGCCTTGCAATCAAGCCACTCCCTCCACTATTGTCATCTTCCCTCTCTTTATTGTCTCCTTCACATCAGCATTGAAATATACTGCAGCCTCTCCTATCCCAAAGATTCCTTCCTTCCAACCTAGTTCTTTCTCTAGATTCTTCTCTTTCTTCTTTGCTGCAAAACCAAAAAATTTAGAAGTGTTATATGTATTAATTGTCAGTACTTCTTCATGTCTGAGATGCCTTGTTTACCTGGAGTCTGGCTTCTCGTTTCACCTCTAAATGGATATAGCTCTGACCAAAATCACCCATGACATCCATTTTACCAAACTCAATAGATACTTCTTAGTCCTTATTTGCCAGTTACAAACTCCTTCTATTTGCATTAATGATAATGCACTTTCCTAGTTTTTCTCCTTTTGTTCCGCACACACCTACTCTCTTTTGCCAGTTTGTAATCTAGGCTCCATTTTCCCTGTACAGACTTTTTCTGGGTGATTTCACTCACTCACATGGCTTTAATTACTGGTGTATTCTGATGACTCCCAAATCTTTCTAGCCCAGATTTCTCTGCTAAACTCCAGTGCCCAAAAGCACTGTAAATAAATCTCTGTGTACTTGATGGTGGCCTTTATATCCATTGCTTTTTGGTGTTCCTTTTGTCATCACCTTAATTCAGGTGCCTTCAGGCCGAGGGTATTACTGATACCTCCAAATTTGCCTCTATGTTCTATTTTATTTCCTGAAGAATTCAACAAATGGGCAAAGGAAATGAACAGAAACTTTTCAAAAGAAGACAGAATAATGGCCAGCAAACATATAAA